CGGCTTTTGGGAATATACCGAGTAAAATCTTGGAGGTTTTCCAACGTTTCGGCAAGCAATCCACTTTCCATCTTCAGAGGGGGGGGGGATCGGAAACCTTCGCTTACTTGGACGAACAGAGGAGCTGAGAAACGCTGGAAGACCTTAAAGCCAAATTTATATATTAATCATTAAAGCAGAATGGTATCGGTACATACCAGCATCTAAACATCAGTAAAATCGCATTTTTTATTTATGTGTTTAGTTTTGTTTCAGTGTAAAAAAAGGGTTACTTCCTGAAAGAGCATTAACCAGTTGATCTTTGTAATGGCGAAATTTTGTTTTCTCTCTGTGGTACGGACTGAATTCTCAAATAATATTTAGACTTGCTTCCTCTTCAAAGGCTGAAACACCAGTCACTAAAATCTAATGAGAAGAATACGATCTGTTTGGAAGGGGTAAAAGATTTCTCCTAGTTTGTGAGTTATTTTAAACGAAACATATTAACCGACTAATTTATTGCAACTTCCTTCATAACACGGTCTTTCCGAGCTGCTGCTTTAAACTTCGCAACGTCTGGCTTTCCCAAAAAAGACCCTACCAACTACGCACACAAGTTGGCGTCGCTGGATATGCAGAAGTAACCGACAAAATGAAATGAAAGCCCGCTTAAGTTTTACGAGCTCTGGAATCTATCTTAATTAGGAACGTGCATATACAATTCCTTCAGATATACAGAAAAGCGTATGCTTGTAGCTTAACGCGTTTCGGCGTCGAATTTTAACCCCACAGCATTCTCATCAGTATTAATTAGACGTTCACCCAAAGGATCTATGCAAATATTAATCTATTTAAGCGCTCCATATTGATTGTATAAGCAATTGTACTTTTTGTTTCCTCGAGTAATTGCACAGGATTCCTGTAGTTAGCGTCTCACATATATGTTTTTCTTGTTTCACTGCAGATGTGTTAAGATTAAATACGGTCATATAAATGTAATTTTAAGTGGCTATCTCCATAATTATATTAAAAATGCGCAATTTTCAGTTGTATCTACATAACCAATTTAAATAAACGTACTTTTCAGTGGATGTCTATATAATTATATTAAATATACGTAATTTTCTGTGGTTATCCATATAATTATGTTAAATAAATGTAATTTTCAGTGGCTGCCTCTATAATTATATCAAATAAAATTATTTTAAATAGACGTCATATCATTCTTTTACACAATGAATCTGTTTCGTGTACAAACTGTTTTAGAAACATTCCTTGTGTGGTTACTCTGTGACTATGTTTGTTTCTTTACTACTGACAAGACTATGGATTTTTCTAAAAGTGATACTGACAAAGGAAAAAGACAAGCGACAGAAATCAGTACTTCTAGACACTTCGTTGAACACACGCAGGCCAGCGGAAAACAGTGACATATGGCGCAGACTTAAAATCGATACTGTTGTCTACTTGATGATATTTCTGCACACGAGAAGAACTTGGTAGACTATCTACAGGGTATCAAATCTAAAAGTTCGTGACGATGGTGAGTTATTTGAATAAAACGTTTCTTGGATATTTTCCATCGTCTAAGAAATAATAAAATACAAAACGACGTTTCGGAGATGGGGGCTCTATCTCCGTCTTCAGGTATCTACTCTGTTGGGCCCAATAGATAGAGCTAATCTCTATCTCCGGACCACAGATCTACAGGATGTTCCATAAAAGTGTATAAACAATATTAATATGGAATATTAACCTTATTATCGATCTCAGTGTGTTGTGTGTACTTGAGTCATATGACTCCTTGACAGAGTTCCAAGCAAAACCAAATATTGAGGAAATCGTTCAGCTCAGTTTCTGAGCAAAAATTGTTTCATGTCACTGTGTAACACCCAATTTAAAACAAAGGAATTCTTTTTCGAAAAAACCACGGCTTCCAGTTTCCCGAAACCTATTTCATGCAACTGGTTTTCCCTGATCACGCACCGCCTAGCAGATGAGAAACGTAAAGGAAGATAAGTCACGTGATATAAAACGTCAGCAATCGGAGATCGGACTGCAGAACTGCGCCAAATTGCAACTGCGTAATGTTCCATGAAGTTCACAAAATGGCGCTGGTTAGGAGAAAAAAAAGTTACGTCCGAACACATCAATCATGCCGACATAAATTATCCCACCGAATAAGAGAAAAAAGTAACATTGTAAACCGAATCCCCGTGTCGTTCAATGTGACGGTCCCTAATTACCGGCTTCAGAAACATTTCAACCACGCTTTGCTCAACTTTTAATTTCGAAATCAGTCTCTATGCATTGTATTCGAGGCCGTATGTAGAATACATTTACTACCCCCCCCCCCAAATATTGATGCATATGGCGGTGAAAAATGGCCGTGAATTCCAACTGATTACTGTGTACAAAGCCCTACAAGAATTAGGAACGGCGGGGTGAATATATTTCTTCTTGGAGTTTTGTCCGCTTTGGACAAGAACGAGACGCATTGGCCTACAAATGACATACATGAACTATGTTTCTGTACGTATGTCGCAGGCAGACAAATTTCATTCTCTGAACACTGTAAATCACAGCATAAAGAAGTGTGAAATGTAGGGAATTCCAAACACTGAAACCGAAATTCGAAATGTACGCATAATTACGCTGAAAGTAGTAAAGATATCCTTGTGAAATCCAGGCCTTTGATATTCTACATAAATTTGAATTATTTCATACGTGTAAAAGATTTCACAAATACGTCTCATTGAATTTATCGAGGACTTAACATTCATTAAACTAAGGATGACTTACATTCGGTTTGTTGCGCCGTGCTGTCTGGTCAGAGGTCTTTGCTGCCTCTATTATTAGGGTAATAAATACTCATAGCCCTGATGATGGAGGCAGCAACCACCTCTGAAAGTTCGGTAAACTTAAACCAGACTACACGGCGCAACGAGCCAGAAGACAACCATCCTCATACTCACGGCCGTGAGATATTGAAATGTTGCTAAAATGTTTGTAATTGGGATATTAAATCAAATGATTGACTCAATTTTTGCGGGTCTTCCTAGGAAACCTTGTAAATCGCCAGATCTTGTGGAAATTGCGTTCACGGACCCTGCAATTGGCCGTCTTGAGACAGTTCCATCGAGTCTGCACCTTCACAGACGATTTCTCTAATATAAATTTTAATATCGCCATCCCATCAAAACCTAGGTCTTCCAAGTCCTTCCCTTCCTTCAGATTTACTGATTAAACTTTTGTACCTTATTCGATGAATAAATGACAGTCAAGTAATACTTGTATTTTACAAAGGCAGATTTCAAGACTCATAACATGCACTCTGAACCTAATATTATTAATCTTAAATATGAGACAGTGGCAAAGCACTCTTCATTAAATGAGAAATGCTCAAACAGTTTTGATCAAAAAATTTCATATGAAGAAACATTTGTGATGTCTGAGCGTAGATGGGATGATAATATAAAAATTTATCAATGGAACCAGCTGGCTCTAGATCGTGTCTAGTTACAATTGTTTTGTAAGCAAAGTTGACTGAAATTCGGTTTCTATAGAAAAAACTTTCATGGGTTTGTCACAGATTAAGTTAAAATACCATGGGCTGAAAACATGTACCACCATATTCAATATGAAGAATAATTTATGTCATTTATGTCACATAGAAGTTATAAGAGGACATTGTTTTATATTACAAATAATGTCTTCTTGAAAACTGACCAACATATTAATGGGTAACTGAGCAATGTAATGGACTCGTTCGTAGTCACAATTTAATAATGTAACTGGTTGTGGTGTTAACAGCAATTTAATTATGATGGCAAGAAAGTAGCATTTAACAAGTCCCGAACTCTCACACGAGTTATAACGACTTGTTTATTAGAGCTGTGAAAATGTGATAAGTGGGGCCATCTTGTGAAATGGTGCAGAACTGCGGAATTGAATGTCAGCCACTGAGCGGAACAGTTTACGGTCGCCTGGTCTCGATCTAATTCCGAGGGGCCCAAGGGGCTACAAACTTGACAGGGAGGTCAACTTCACGCTAGAATTACCACACAGTTCCTCCAACATTCGTTTTCGAAACCATAAACCTCAAGTGGTCATCAGAGATAAATTCAAGTTGTGGTTATACTAAATGACCCGGACACAAATATTTATTAATACGCTCGTTACGATATCAATTCAATGTACAGTGTACGGTGGACGGAAAATAACTGCGAGTTTCAGCTACGTCACAGTATGAGGGCAGATGCAAGGGGCAAATTGCAGCAAGATGGCAAATAACCTGTCTGCGTATGTATAATATAACTAAAAAAAAACATTTTCCCCCTTCTAATTTTAATGCAATCGGCGACATTTTGACTCACTGACTTTAAAGCCGTAGTGTATTGTGTGAACCAAAGGAACTATAAAACAGCAGCAAAGCAGGCAAATGCATTAACCCAAAGTAAATGTAACAGAATGACTAATTTCTCTGTCTGTTATGAGACATCGCTTCGCGGCCTTCCCCTCTCTCTCACGGTCAACCAAGCTCTGAGTTATTTTGCGTCGACTGTAAAGTCGATTAACCTCATTCATGATATGCATTGAATATCTCGATCAAAAATGTTGGCCCTTCTGATCATTAAAAATATTTATTGCCATCCGAGGCTTTTTTAACAGCAGAAATTATGCACTGCCAGTTATATGCAGTTTTTTCTTATTATAAATTATACTCGAATAATAAAATTACACTACTTAAGAGTATTTATTATGTAAAACTAATAAATATAGGCGTACGTTTTCAATAACATATGTCATTACTTTTAGCCGTGGGCCCTCATAATAAAAGAATGGAGAATTAAATGGATGCCAAGAAATTAAATATTACTGGACATAAATAGCTTTTGAACTTAAAGTCTGCTTATAATCACCTAACAACGAAACTACATACGGTAAGAAACGGAAAACACTCTTAAGAAATCGACAGAATTAAGCAAGGGACACAAAACCACTATTTTATGGTAAGTTACCTGGTCAGGTGGTAAGATCTGGTAATATGGTGTCCCACCAATATTCTGAAAAAAAAGAACAGGATGTTATGAAAGAAGGCATGCATTTGTTCAAGTACTTGACTCTAATTAAGTATGAAGTTGTAAGGAACAATCCACTAAAGTGATGCATATCAAATTTCACATACAATGCTCCATTAGCCATCGACATCAAATGGACAGCTAAATATAATATTCGAATGGCCGCAATAATATTTTGTATAATACAGAAATAGCATCAACCGAAGTTTCATATCTGTAAAATACATCATCGCACAGAATTTCACTAAAATTGCTGGCAAAAGACAGGAAAGTATTTGGTCCTTCTAGACATATTCACAATTAAGAGTATAGGTTCATTAAACAGATTTGAGCGCAAGTGGACACAAGGTTGCAGGTTGGTGGCTCTGAAGTCTGTAAAGTACGAGGTCGATCAATCACAGGATTATGGATGCGAGCTAAACGAGAGCTGGTGGATCGTGAAAGGCTGTAGTTGGCTAGTGCTCAATCAAATGAAGGAAGTCAGAGACATGGGTGATTATGGAGCAATGTGATTTATTGGAGTCTCCACGGCATGTCTCCCATTAATGACGCTCTGGTAAAACATAAAATGGAACACTTTCCGTAGTTTTTAAATTAGTCGAAACGATCGGCCTATACCTTGCAACAAAAAAAGGAAATAAAATAAAATATGTAAATTTCGCATTCATGGAAATATAAATTATTTTATTACATCATGTGACGACATAATTATAATGCCTTTAAATTTAAAAGATGTACAATATTTATTAGTAGACTTTATACACTATACGGATTGATGCCAACTACTAAATGTCAACTTGTAGACCCTATATGTGGCTGAACAAATCTGGTTTGGTGGATCTTACTAAAATTGTTGAAAATGAGCGTAGTGACACGCAAACAAACATGAACGTTCTTTACCAAACATTTTAAAGGTTACAATTTTTACGAATATGACAATATTTTGTGAATAATTAACAACGAATAAGCAATGTTGTGTTGAAATTAGTCACTTTATAATTCTTTGAATGATGCATCCATTTAGTCCTCCCCCCTGCACGTCTTCGTCAGTGACACGAAGAATCTTACGATAGAAACTTGAAATGAAATTTATAGGCGTATACAAGCATAATAAAGAGACCGTGGAACAACTTAAATCTTTTTGCATACATTTTACAGGAATGTCGACCGTAACCAGAGCAAAGCCGCTCTACACAAGTGCACTGGAAGTAAGTTTAATTTTGTTCAACCCATTCCCAAGTCTCCCAGTAAATTTTAGTCTCATGTAACATGGAAATTTCATGCGACCAAACCATGTTAATGCCACTGCAGTATATCTGAAGTATTCCGTATAGAACCCGGAGACATTACAGTTTCTTAATTAAACGGTGCTGTTAAGAAACTCTTTCGTACCTTTATTATTCAACAAAACGTGTACTGTATTCGAGTTTTATTGGCTTCAGTATTTGTGTTACAGATTTCATTTGGAATACACTGTGTTTGTGTATACGACAGGGATTTAATTTAAAGTTGGTGGCAGAAAGCGATTACAAAATGTAAACTTGTGTTGAGAAATTGTTATTACTCTTATTTTGTACGCCGCGTTTCTGAACAACGAAACTTTTGGCTTCATATACTATGAATTCTATGAAGCACTGGTATAGAATCTGCATATCAGTGAAGTTTAACTGATGTTATTACGTTGCTAGACCTATATGGTTTTACTGATATTGAAATTCAGTACCTAAGTTGCTCAATACCTTATTAAATTTTATAGGCAAGAAACAAGTACAGGTCACAAAGAAATAACTGACTCATCAGGGCAGAGACCTTGCTAAGTTTATTGTATCGGAGATGGTCATTAAATTTAACGTCTTCTACGAAACCGAAGGCCTGTTATCGTGTTCAAAACGGTCCGCGATCGGTCCATATTCTGAACCGGATAAATCCATTATCTTTTCATGTGATTTCTTTAAGAATAATATCGTAATTACCCCATCTACGACTAGGTCTTAACGATTTGTCTCTATAATTTAGGTTTTCCAATCAAACTTTGTACGCACTTCTCACATCCCTCAACCTATCCAAACTCTTCCTGGTTAATTTTATCGTCCTGATAATGTTCGGCGAAAAATACAAATTACAAAACATGTAGTTATAGAGTTTTCTCCAGTCTCCTGTTACATTTTACAGTTTTCAAGCATCAAAATTCTACGTGGAACTTCGGCTTTCGTGGACAAACCGCGTTGAACCTTGAAAGTTATCAAACTTTACAGAAAACAATAAAGTTTCCATGTACCCCTCCTCATGAAAGAGAACTTTTGTACTCACCTTAAAGAAAAGTAACTACTCTGGAGTGACTAATTCAGTCCTTACTTAAATGGCCCTGTCGTCGTTACCACCTCAGAAATTTGCATGATCGGCATGCCGGTATTCCTCCATGCGCAAAGAACAAATTTTCTGCTTCAATCGTCTAGATGATAATGAAGACGCTAAAAAGCATAAAAATTTAAGATTGCGCGGCAACTTTCTGTAAAATACTAAGACTACGCTAAAAGCCATTTTCTGCATTGTTTATACGTGAAAATGTCAAATTGAAGTCGAATCAGAAGACCAAATAGTCAGAACTGTTGTTAATTTCTCAGTACCCAGGATTACACAGTTAGGAAGTAGCAATGTCTTGTAATATAATTTGATGGAAGACAGGTTGTAACGCATGACAGCGTTTGTATCGTCAATGCAGGTTGGAATGTGTCGTGGGGGTAGGGGTTTACCTCTCTCCTTGTTTGTCCTACGCAAACTGCAGAACGCGTGGCTTCAGATTCTACAACATACTCTTGCTGGAAACTTCGGTAGTTACACACGATAAACTGATCTAAACTCGTGTTTATTCTTGCCATCAACTCCAACTACACAGAGGTGAAATGGCCAGGAATGGTTTATTGCAGACTTCTCTTCGCTCGCTCACTTTGCTTAAATGGATATGGACAAAGTTTAAATCAAATTTAAGCTGCCCCAGTTGCTTACATTTAGTAGAAGGGTTAAAGACATTTCAACATTTCCAGTGAGAAACAACACAACAACAGCTTCTAACAAAATGCACATTTTCTATGAATTAATGAAGCCAAACAACTACTGCCTTATTTATTTATTTATTACTAACTCAGACTATTTTTATTTAGTGTTCTGTCTGACGACAGGTCCATATGAACAGGATCCTTCCATCCTTTTCTCGGACTGGGACCTGTTCATATACGTTCTTGGCAGATGATCCAGAAGGGGTTTGCCATTGCCTTCTTCTGTGTGTGAATGGAGTAATTGTTGGGATGCCACGGAGGAAAACTCCGTGTTGCCTAGACCACGGCCTTGCCCAACCCAAGTTATAAATTCGGGCACCGCCGGGAATCGAACCCGAGACCCCAGGATTACAAGGCCAGCGTTCTAACTGCTAGACCACCTCATCTTATTATTATTTAGTGTTCTGTCTGACGACAGGTCCATATGAACAGGATCCTTCCATCCTTTTCTCGGACTGGGACCTGTTCATATAAGTTCTTGGCAGATGATCCAGAAGTGGTTTGCCATTGCCGCCTTCTGTGTGTGAATGGAGTAATTGTTTGGATACCACGGATAAACCGGGGAAGCCCCCGGAAGAAAACTCCTTGTTGCCTAGACCACGGCCTTGCCCAACACAAGTTATAAATTCGGGCACCGCCGGGAATCAAACCCGAGACCCCAGGATTACAAGGCCAGCGTTCTAACTGCTAGACCACCGTGGCTACCAACTCAGACTATACAGTATGAAAAAAACAAACAGAATAATTAACAAACTGTTTGGTACATTTGTACTGTTACAAACAATCAGTAGGCCTACAATGCAGTCGACAATCGAGAATGGAGCTCTAAAATAAAAACGAGAATAATTGAAGTCAAACTATCATGCGAATAGCGAATTTGAAGTCTTATATTCAATTTCTCATAGATATTATTAACTGTCTTGTATCATGTGTTGGAATAACACGATCTGATTTTTAAACATTTTTCGTAAGTTACAGGGTCATGGTTAGGGATGGAAATATATGCCTTCAGTCGTTATGAATATATTTTCAAATTTAATTAGGTTTACAAAGACATTTTAAAAATTCTGTGCTTTCAATGCGATTTTTCTAGAAAGCTGCTGCTATAAACTACATTACTTACAAACATAAACAAGTTTCATTACCGTCAACTTTGACGCATCACACGCTAGGTTAATGTTACAAATAAACGAAGTGTAATTATGCAGCAGCACCAAATTATATGAAATAGACGTACATATTTGTTTTGTACGCACGAGAAGTCACTGCATGTGTGTATACACAAAAATGTCTTTCAGACATGCGAATTACTTCTAAACGTTTTTAAAATTTAACTGGAGTTCGCTCTTGTGTGTAACATGTTCCGGGCTTGTAGTGAGAGCAAGATTATTGCCAGGTGGGAGGATGCTTGGTCAAGCCGTGGAAGTAAGCCGACAGCTCGGTCCAACGGACGAGATCCGGAAAGAAGAAAAAGGGACACGTGGCCGGCTTGTGTTTCAGATAAAACGCTGTTGGACCCCAGAAACCTTAACCCTAAATGGTGCTCCGTGAACTCTAAAATAGGATGTATTTTATATTATACAAAAGCGTTGTGTAAATCTGTAGTTTTCAAGTGTTAAACTGTGTTTCGTCTTTATCCACTGTCCAGGTATCATTAAAAAATTAACGTTGTTTCTTCCGTCTTCAAGTGGAAGAACTACAATGAACTAATATGTGAGACACCCTGGTCCAGTTCGTTTCAAATCAGTAAATACAAACGTAAGCTTTGTGTCCTTCATAAAGTTCACAATATATCACGCATATGAAAAACCGACGTAAAATATGGACGATTACTGTTATGATGATGATGGGTGAAAAGATGGCATTTGTTTTAATTCATATTGCAGAACCCACTAACACTGTAAATGATTCATTTCAACCATTTTAATTTTCGTGCGTTTATTTAGTTGTTAAACAATTTTCTCGCTTCGAAACACCGGTAACAGAGTTTATTTTCATTGACTGTTCCGATTCAGGTGGGTGATTCGGTGAGTTGAGCATTCAAACCGGAACCGTTCCCACCGGAGCCTCACACTGTCAACATCCCCCTGGGACACTTCTTGGGGCACTGGCAACAAAGCCGGGAAAATGAGCCCATCAGCTGCGCCAAGCCCCTCTGCCCACCTTCCTATATATCTGTTTATAACAAATCGAGAAAGACTGAATGGATTTTCATTGCGGAGTTTTACTACAATCTGTCGAAACATTACGATTTGGTTAAAAAATAATGGGGATTTTTCATGTAGATCCGCATGAATTTTTGTTATGTCGAGCGCAGGTTAAAAAAGGTAAAAGTATTCGAAAGAAACCCATTTCCTGCCGATAGAACTTTTCTGAAGTGCAATTTGATGTTCTGTCATCTGGTGAGTCGAGAGCCCTTGGACTGATTTTGATCAGATTTTTTTACTAATCTCACAGCCTCGTCAGCTGTACTTGTTTTACGCTGTTGGTATGAGAGTAGTGAAAATCATCATTCACAAACTAAAACATGTGGAAACAATAATTCAGCAAACGCATCAGAAATCTTATGCTATTAAGTACACTTCCCAACCTTCGTTTAATTGCAGAACAATCACTGACTCATTGTAATTTCAGTGGAATTAATCCCCATGATATTAATCCCTTCGTAACGCGTTGAATGTATGTAATTTCCCTTAAAGCTACATACGTACTATGACGTTTAATACGTGAGGAACGCCATGTTGGACTTCTTTATTGAAAACTTATACTTTTCTCGTCTTTTGAAAAATTCTTTACGTTTAGGGAGAAAACCATTCATGAAAGATTCATAAAACCACGTAATTTGGCAGGGTAAGTAGCATGCACGGGAAAGATCTAAAATTCATACCCATCTCCTTATCGTTGCACATAGAAACAATTTCGTTGAAAGGAACAAGCGTATTTGGGATAATATTAAAATTGATATTTTGATCTAGCGGTAAGCTCTTGTGGACACGGCAATGAAACGTTGGGTTTGATAAAGGCGGGACATTTCTTGACTGCCTATTAACTTCAGAACGAGAATATGCTGAATGAAATTACTTACATACGTAAGTGTGGTAATATATTTTATTATAAAATATTTCCTTGTTCGGAAAAACTCCGAGGAAAATCAAACATTATTTAACACAGAAATACTTCAGATGCAGTTATCACAACACGGACCCTCACTTGGTAATCTAAAAATCTTATTGGCTAAAAGAAGGTTTGCCTACATTAAAAAAACTCAATGCTTAACTCTAACGTAAAGGGGCACGTAATGGGCCGTTTATCAAAAGATCATTAAAATAAATCCAAAAGAGATCATTAGCAAATAGCCTATGGGCGTAAAAGGTGCATCTTCTATTGTGCTGAAACACGCCATGAAGCATTTTAGAGCGTGGAAATAAAACCACTCGGACCAAAAACATCGGCAGTAAATACAGACGAGCTTTCAAATTCACGTTGCGGCCGCTTTACCCATAACATCAGAGACTGGGCGAGGTCAGCGAGACGATCTGAATGTATTGACGGCTTACATAGGCCGAAGTATCGAAACACACATATATAGTATATAATTTCCTCTTCTTAGTTTGCATGGCTGGAATTATTTGTATAATTTTGAAGATTTCTGTCTTCTGGGTTGTTGCGCCGTGTAGTCTGGTAGATGTTTACCAACGTTTCAGAGGGCATACTGCCTCCATCATCAGGGCGATGAATTCATTTACCATACTACACGGCGCAATAACCCAGAAGACAGAAATCCTCATACTTATCGCTGTGAAAACCTCAAATTATACATAGTATAATTTTGTTTCCAGTATATTTCCACAAAATGTCTTTTCTCTATTAGTCAAATTTGTGGTCGAATATCATCTACACCAGTGGTATTCAACCTTTTTTGTTCACGTACCCCCAGATATAATTTCTCTTCAACTTTGTACCCACTAGTTGTTGGTGTGTAATTCAAGTTATACATAGTATATAATCTACATCTAAAATAAATTAAACAAATTACATTACTGATTATTCAGTGTTTATCATAATTTTTTTTTTTTTTTTAAAATTTCACGTACCCACTAAGATGTCATCGCGTACCCCAGGTTGAATACCACTGGTATAAGCTAACACATGTTACTAGTCTGTAAATAAATTTGATTTTCATAAACTATGACTTAAAAATATTTCGACTACACCCTTTCCCCTACTAGTTGGATTTACCATACAGTAGGCTTACTGCATCTCCTTGTTAACAGAACCGCCGTGATACAAGTCAACCTGTCCACTTCAGAGTTGCAACGCACAGTCCATAATTCAAAGATCACCGCGTCCCCCAGTCAGGCAACGGAAAGAATTGTTGTTAAATATAAAGATTTATTACATCGACAGTAACTAACGACTTCTTTCGACAGAAAAGGAAACTAAAAACCGCACGTCATGAGCTTCTAAGGGGTTGGGGGGAAATCATAACATGTAGCATATTTAGACTTGGAAGTCACTAAATACTAAAAAAAGGGCAAATTTACATTAATTTTAAGAAGGTGTGAACTACTGTGTAGTTTGCTGTGCAGTTGGTACTCTCTGGTGCAATATACAGGGTGAGCACAAAATTACTTCACACTTTTAAAATGATAAAGAAACCAAATGCTGCATACTTCGAACTTCACACCCAAACCAGTCGATAGAAAATCTCTCACAGTTTTTTTTCTCTAATAACCTGGATGATAGTTGTTGTTGCGCGACTCCGCCAGATGCCACTAGTCTTGAAAATGGCTACCCTGACAACAGAATACTTGGTGTGTTCTGCAGATAGCGAAGTAAGAGTCTGTAACAGCTGTGCTTCTGCAATTTTATTCACACAAAATTCTCAATAAAATGTAAAATCTGCAATTCGTAAACAGTAGTTTCATAAAACTCTTTTATACTTGGGTATAATAAACAAGAGGCAATTACACCTCCCTCTAAAAAACGATTCTACTTTCCAATCCCTTTAATTGAATAGACAAGCATCATTTTAACCTTTCAAAGTATCGACTGGCAACGGACAGATGATTAAGTCCAAAACCCTTCTATCTTCAAAGTTAATTTTATAGAAAGAATAAATTAACGTAGCTCTGACTGGGCGTGACTTGTCATAAATTTTCAAAGAAGACTTATATAATATCACAAGAGAAAAGAGAAGTCGAGAAAAGCAAATTCTTTTCATAATTAACAAAGCTCCGTCAAACCAAACTTTCAATCACTTTACAATCGCAGCACTTCTCATTTTCATTCTTTTTGGTTCTCGCTATCTTGAGAAGATTGTCCTAATTTCTTACGTAGGAAAAAAGACAATTCTTATTTCTGCAAATTATTATTAGTGACATGGCATTCTAGTACATTTTATTGACACAGCTCTATGTGTGCTTTATAAAAGAGACCTTTCGGTCTACCTTGATGATGAAGATCATGCCAATACACACACATATATATATATATTTTTTTTTTTGCTGTAAAATTACCCGAATAAGGAAATATGAAATTAGGGTGAAGCTGTGATCACTTCTATAACGATACGTCTGCAGAATCTCTTAAAGCTTTTTAAGCCGAAGCAAGTCTAAAAATTCACCTCTTACCACAAATAAACACGTGTACCCTGCACAAATATTAATATGATAAATTTTCTTAAGGAAATAATCACTGTTTACTTAGATAACCATACGAATACCATTAATACATTGTCAGTAAAATACACAATTATAAATTGTTAACGCAGTAAAGTAAAGTAAAGTTTGTCCCACTATACGAGATGTAGGCGTTTGGGGTGAGTGGAGGTATAGCTCCTCTCTTCCTTGACCTCGGCACTAGATGGGGGTGAGTGGTCAACATCACGCCCCGACCGGCTTTACCCCCGGGAAAGGACCCCTGTACCCATTGTAGAGGAGGCTGGGTGGGCCCCAGAGCCGGTCTGGACGCAGAGGCTAGAGGAAAAATCCTCTGCCCCCGTCGGGGATCGAACCCCGGTCGTCCAGCCCGTAGCTAGTGGCAGATATAATTATCACTGGGGTTTAAATTTCTAATTTATGCTGGTACCACTCTCCACTTAAGAAGTCAGTAAAGGGATTCCACGAAACGTAGAATTAAATGCAGGAAGAAGCAATAGATAACCGGTAGGCGATAAGAACTACAGAGCTTGTACAGGGCAGTTGTAACAGAGAGCCTTCGAGAACTGATATCTCAAAGAAATTAAAATTCTGTATCAACAGAACAGATTTGCCATACTTATCACATCTCTTTCAGATACTCTGTAAATATAATACTAGTCAAGTCAGAGACGAAACATTTTTTTGAGATTCCACCTCTGACTTTTACTTTTAAGAACTAGAAGATGAAAGTCAATAAATTTTATTTTCCGTAAATTTTTTTTTTGCTCTATTTCCGACTATTCACAGACGTGAAACTTTTGCCCATTGCCATATTTACTTTCCGATAATTTCACATTCACCGCTGTCCTGCTCTTACGCCATTTTATTCTATTGAGCTCTGAGATCACGCTGCCAAGTTCCGAGACAGTAACAAGGACAGAGCAGCTGTCACCAAACTGCATACTTCAAGGCCACGGAACAGAACTAACCACCCAACACTCAACGCTAATCTTAGAAAAACTGTTAAATAAACTATTAATAATAAGAATATGATCTTACCAAAGGAACGTGAAGTCTTCTAACCAATCTGATTCAAACGCTTGTAATTAATTAATTAAAGTACTTCAGTTCTGTAGTTATTAACGCACAGCAAGTTTTGTAATGCACAGCACACAATAACATTAACACACTTCATGCACTAATTATTGAAACCCACGCACCAACAGTAACTATAACAGAAAACATTATATTTAATATCTTTACAAGAAAGTGACTTTACACGTAAATTCTTCCAACCCACGACACACCACGTTGCAGTTTCACTAGCTCCTCTCCAACAACCTTCTGCCTTCGGGACACTTGCACAAGGTCGGGTGCATTCGATTAGCAAGCAGCCACTTCTCGGCGTTATTCCAGTTTAACTCCGTTACAACACAAATTTCCCTTCACAACAAAATTCTCTCTGTATATTTTTTTTCGCAAGAAGTGCATAAAACAGACATACCGGGAAGTCTTCGGCTCTTTTCGTAGGTTAGTAAATTTATTCGTCCGCCCACATGCGTGTTTCACGTTAATTTGCCGATTTTGAAACGATGCGATTATAAATCGCGGAGACTATCAGTAGTACAGACACAGAAACATGAGGTCCGCGGGCCGCATATGGCCTACGAAAACTACTGATACGGCCCGTCACTGATTTGGGAATAAACCAGTAAGAGAAGGGCAAATATTTTCTGCTACTGAAAAAAAAGGATTATATTAATGTATAAACATTATTCTAGAATAAGGGACAACCGAAACTTTTTGATAACAATTTCGTACATTTAGGCTTATAATGTTATAATCGCTTTATTGTGCAAACGTACATTATTTCATAACACCATGTGGCATTCAAAAAAAATATGAAAAGTTCTGTGGTCTTAATAGCCTAAGTTTCATAAAATTAACAATGACTTAAAGTTGAAACTCGTATTTGAAAGCTTACAACCATCTTTGTAATAAATTTAGCTATATGACGAAATACAGCTATTACTAACCAGAATAACGCTTTATTTCAAAGAAACATGGTTTCATGAATTATTCTCGGGCTGCCAGCCTTGTCAGGTGGTTTAATGGAGTAAACACATTCGCCATTAAACCACCTGACACGGCTGGTAGCCCCAGAAGAATTCATTATACTTAGTCGCCGCGAAAGCTTCAGATCATACAAAACACATTTTCGCTTACTGTTTACGATATTATCAACTTTTTTCTGCGACCCTCTACAAAGAATTCAATAGCCAATGCTGCCTGCGGCAATGAAAATTTTTCTGACCCCTGGCGTACGTGATCAGAAAGAAGAGGTTAAAACCCTTAGTACTTCAGTCAAACTGAAACTGGATACATCCGATTATGAAACATTAGCGCTAAGCACTATGTTTGAAACACTTCTTAATCTATTTACAAAACCAAAGAATAAGCAAATGCTGTTTATGCTTACAGAATCATTATGGTTTAGTTTCATTCCGTCCTGTTTTGTTAATGTCCTAAATGGACTGGAGTTCTCCAACACCCTTTACATCTAGGCACTCCCCATTCAAATTATTCAACTCGGTATAGGTGTGTGTTTCAAAGAGACAAACATTTCAAATGGGATAATTGTTAAACAGCTTCAGAAGGCAGACTGTGCTCTCCGGCTAATAGCTTTGCGTACTGGTCAGAAGCAGCTGTTAACAGTCGTCCTGTATTGTGTCGCGGAGGGATACACAAGCACAATGTTAAAACTTTTACTATACTAGATTCACACACACAAGAAGAAGTAATCAAGACACTCATTCCCTCTACAACAGAACTCATGGCTCTCCGGTTATTGAAGTGTGCATAATGTATGAAGTGGTTGGCTGCCCTGATTACAAGCCACGGGGAGTATATGACGCACCTCGCTTACAGTGCATCATATCACAAATATCCCTACTCCGTTGTCTAATGGAAATTTCAGGTAAAACTTGCATAACGTTACATGTTGCATATGAACATACACTTGAAATGACACGAGCTCATGCAGTCAACACGCGAATTGGACACTATGTTGAATGGGTGTGTGTATGTTTTGTTCATATCGTGTTGCGGAGAAGAGGTGTTGTGTTGGAGGAGAGCTATGGTTATTTTTATGGGACCCATGAGAAGAACTGCTCTTCAAATCTCCCTGTTCTAATAGCCATTACTACAACATGGTTTCGTTTCACATCGCCACACAAAACAACCCCCCCCTCTCTCTCTCTCTCTTTCATCAGATTGCTTTGCACTGACAACAATCAGTTCTTGCGGGATTAGAGTCCTAAGGCAATTCTATTGGCCACATGCAGTCTCCTCATGATCACAGTTTTCGCTAGGAGAACAATGTCAATTACGGAGAAACAAAATTCAAAAACAATGTTGGCCAGCCTTAATAAAACTGATTTAGTTTGTCGATAAAAGATACATCAGCTAAAACCTTGTTTAAACAAACAATTCAGACAATGTTTCTGGCCCATTTTCAGGCGAACATTTTCGTAATCACACACAGGAAAAGTCTTCAAATACTAACAGAAGTAAAAAGGAGTACACCATTTCGAATGAGCATATTTCAGAAATGCCATATTTTGCAATTTTATGTTGTTGTACTGCTCCCCCAATAATGTCAGGGTGATTTAGTCGAGAAGAATGAGATGGGCGGGGAATGTAGCGCGAATGGATGGTACAAGAGGTATGCACCGGGTATTGGTCTGGAAGCGTGAAGGGAAGAGATCGCGAGACCGAATTCAAATGCTGTTTCATAACACGAAAAAGGAAATTATTCGATTTTACAAATATTGCACGTGTACCCTGGCAAAAGACTGCAGTTTCGTGTTTCCTCTCATTCAAACAATTTATGTGAGGGCTTTTTGTTGTAACTAATTACCGCTCAACAATCTGTCGACATTGAAAATTACATCGGTTTTGTTGTTTCTAAATCGCATGTGAGTTCACGGTTCTTTATCAGGAATTTGAAATAGTAGCACTACGTACGTCCCAAAAAATTGCAGTTTATTGTGGACGGAATGGCAAATGGCGCTGTGATTGTAAACAAACGCTGGTGCCAACTGAAGCATATGTGACGTTGCCCATGTGCTACGGATTTTGTTCCGTGACTGATAGCTGTGAAAGGCACTGAAAACATGCAAACGACAAGCTGTTACTGACGAAAGTTTAGAACTCAGACTGAAAATATATTTTATGTTAGGTATTCAGATAAAAAAGTACTTACGTAAACGTATTTCTTGGAACTTTACACATTTTATAGTCAAGGTGATAGGCTGATCTCCCATACAAGGATTCCTAGCAAATGCATAAAGTTCAGTTTCAGAAATTAACTGTCAACTGCAGGAGCTCGGAGGGTCTAATTCGTAAAAGCTGAAGAAGACGATACTTGATACTGGAGTGCAGAAACGTAAAATGTGTAACATGGGACTCATAAGCGTCTGTTTCTAGTTTATTATAAGGTACCCACAATATCTGTTCTTCGTCAGATTTTCTTAAAATAAACTGTGTTCAAATAATGAAAATTCTTGTTTCTCTGACAATACACAGTAGCAAAATGTCACACAGTTCTTATTAACTCATGAAGAATAAACAGATTAACTCTGTGAATGCACCTTTATTAAACTTCGTAAATAATACAAACAATACCACCAAACGTTAATTGCTTAATCAATACATGAAATTAATGAACTGTACGAAATAATTAATTATTGCTCCAAAGCAAAAGAATCGAAAATAATACATCATTTGTATTATTTATAGTTGTGGTATTGTATGAAGGTAAGTAGTAAATACAGTGTTAAAGATAAAACCATATATGGTTACCTATCACACTTTGCACCTATTATACGTTATATGGTTTTCTATCACTAACCACAATACAAGAATGAAATAACTTGGGAAACTTAAAAAATGTGTCGTACAGATAGTATTATTAAATATAAAAATAAACAGTCTTACTTTAATAAAAGAATATGTGCTTCGAACACAGAGTAACTTGTAGCATCAAATATTAGCAGGAAAACATACAAATTAAAAAGTAAACGGTGTAACATCCCACAAGACATTAATCTTTAATATCACAAATTATTGTGCCAGACGTCTAACATGGTCAGATAACTTTTTGTTCAATGACTGAGATCAGTAGAACGTTTTATGAACAGAGCAATAAATCTTCGAGTTCCATCAATACAGAAAACGTATTTACGGTACAAACAGCTACCAACTGTTTTGGAAGGTGGTCTCCTAAACATCCACCCCAAAACACACCACTGGTTGGCAAGATTGGCGTGTATATTATGCAACATATACCAACTGTGAGCATACAATTTACCATAAAATATAGTTCAAGTCCTTTTCAATCTCATGATGAATGGTGTGTGCAGTTGATGTATCTTATAACCGAGCCTTCACGTAACACCCTTAACTAATGTGTCCGCATACAAACACACGTGATGTCAGGCACGGATATTTCCCTCTCTCTCTCGTTTTGAGGCCCTGAAGGAGTGTAAGGACAAGGAACTTTTCATGTACCAGCTGCAACCCTCCCTCTTATGCAACACACAATACATTACGTGCAACCTCGTTACAAAACTCTGTTCTTTTCCGGTAGAGAGACCGACCACCGATTCAACCCAACATTCTCCACTACATAAACACCAACCCGGACAGCTTTAAGGCGAATTGGTGATTGTTACACCACATGCAACAGAACAAATAACGAGGTTACTTACGACGTATTCATGACATAAGTAGAACATATTTTAGGGGCGCTAGTTAACGTCATCCAGAATAATAACATTAACCACGTTACTATATGTGGATCCTGTTTGTGGCTGTGGGGTACAGCCCCTCAAAGAATTGTTGGCGTCGCATTACACCCACGAAGCCTAGAAATAAAAATTTCCTATAAAGTTTAAAGGTAAAACCTCACCCCCCGTTGACCGCCATCCGTAAATATATGTATTATCAAGATTTCTGTCTTCTGGGTTATTGCGCTGTGTAGTCTGGTCGATGTTAACCAACGTTTCAGAGGTCATACTGCCTCCGTCATCAGGGCGAAATTTGTCGTTTTGGACGATTTTCGACGTTTTTTGATTTTTTTAAATTTTCGACATTTTTTGAAATTTCTCAAAGGGGT